AGGAAATTCGAATCCAGCAGATATACCATCCCGAGGGTGTTCGATTAAGAGTTTTGTGAAAGCTCGCTGGTGGCAAGGGCCAGAATGGCTTATGAAGAATGATGAAGAGCGGCCAACTAGTGAAGTGATTACTAACGAAGAAGAAATCACGAGAGAAAAGCGAAAGAACATTATTTCAACTTTGGCTAATATCACCACTGAAAAATTATTTACTTTTCAAGTTACTTTAAAATTGTGAGAATGATTTCTTCGATTCTAAGATTCGTAAATAATTGTAGACATGGGGGAAGAAATTATGACAAAACCCTGAATGTTGAAGAATTAGACATTGCCGTGAAGAAATTATTGAAGATCGTTGAACAAGAAGCATTCTCTAATGAAGAACAGTTGACAGGACATTTTACTTTCAGAGATGGAGAAGGAATTGTAAGGTTGAAGATGAAGATTTTGAGAAGACATGATGATGAAAACTTCCGGTATACTTCCATCCAAGCATGAATTAGTAGAAAGAATGATATAAGACTGCCATTTACAACTTCTACATGCTAGTACTCAAGTTCTTTTGACCAATATTCGTTAAAAATTTTGGATAATAAGAGGAAGAAAAACAATACAAAGAGTCATATCGAAGTGCGTTCGGTGCAAGAGACACTCAGCGAAAGCTTCTGATACAGTACCTTGTGCTTTCCCAGAAGATTAAGTCAGAGATGCTTATGCATTTGAGGTGACAGATGTTGATGTAGCAGAACCACTTTATTTAAAAGAAAACGAAAAGCTTGGATCTTGCTTTTTACCTGTGGAATTTATCATGCGGTTCATTTAGAATTAATTGAAAGTTTATTGACTAATGGATTCTACCTCGGATTTCGAAGATTCATAGTACGAAGAGGACGGCCTAGAGTAGTATACAGCGACAATGGCACAAATTTTATGGGGCAAGGAATTTTACTGTGATCTGTTGACTGGAATGAAATTATCAGAAGTTCTTCGACAAAGAAAATTCAATGGAAGTTAAATCCACCAACCACAGCATGGTGGGGCGGCTGGTGGGAAAGACTGGTTCAGATGATCAAGAAATTATTGAGAAGAGTCCTGGAAAACATATGAAGAAATGTTAACTATCCTACATGATGCAGAAGCAAATATCAACTACAGACCATTAACATACAAGTCAGAAGATTCCACCGATTTATGTGCACTCCATCTATGTTTATTCAAACTGAAGGTGTTCCGGATTTGGACAGTTTGGATAAAATCAACTTATCGAAAAGATGGCGATACCACCAAAAATTATGTGTAGAATTTCATAAAAGATTTAGAGATGAATATCTTGGACTGTTAGAACATCAACCAAAGACCGTACCTTCGCGAACCATCAAGAAAGATGATTTAGTGTTTGTAGAGGACTACAGAAGGAAAAGAACAGACTGGCCTATAGGTCGCGTTGTAGAAACGTATCCTGGGAAAGACAACAAAGTACGTGTTATCAAAGTGAAAACTGCAAAGGGGGAACTCCTAAGACCTGTGAAACATATTTATCCTCTCGAACTTGATAGACTTAACTTGTCTTGTGACTTGACCATAAACAGAAAAAAACTCTGTCGGTGAATGTGTGACAGTGATATGAACTATCAAACTAGATATGGACGTAAAACCTGTAAAACCTGTTACGTATTTTCAAATTATTATACTAATTTTTTGTTTCTTTTCAGTATTTTAGAAGTTTAATTGTCCTAACTGTAGTAAATTGTAACATGTTATTTGAATATAGTAAGGAAATGTTTAGATGTATAACAGTCCTTTTGTAAATATTAATTTTTAGAGCATTAGTTAATTTTCATATTTATGAAATTTTGTTTGATTATTGATAAATTTTGTTTTGATTTTCCCATGTAAAATCAAAAGGTGGGAGAATGTTCCATTCTTGCCGCTAAATGGCAGGCATTCTTCCTTTCTTTTTCTCTAATTGAGATCTGGGAACGAGATTAGATTCGAGCCACTCGGAGGAGCATAAAGATGAACTTCGATTTCAAAACCAACTAAAATGTACTGTCATTAAAGTAATTATCAACTTTCATGTAAATACTGTAATTATAAAGATGTGTATAAATAAAAAGTCATTAAGACTTAATTGAAGTTATGATTGAATCGAATATAGAAATCAAAAGCTCTCCCAAATATAATAATTTCTATGGATTAGAAATAACTGCAGCATTACTAATTCTCAGCAGCTGTTTTAAATTCATGTCAGTTTAAAATATATTTATATATCACCACAACCACCTCGACAGTTTGGTGACTTTTAACAGAAGAAAAAGAATAAAGACTTATAAAGCTTTTGGATACATATAAAGTAAAAACATAATATCCAAAAATCAGTCAGTAAACCTATAAATGCATTCCTTTCATCATATCTGGTTGCTTTGGAATCATGCCAAAAAAAAAAAAAAATTTTTTTTTTTTTTTTTTTTTTTGTTGTTGTGTTTGTTTGTTGTTGTTGTTGCTGTTTAGGTGGAAATTCAGTGGTGATCTCTTTAAGTATAGATTCAGAGCAAAGTTCTCTTTAGTAATTTTGTGAAAAAATACATTTTTTCGAAATGTTTTACTGCAGTTTCTTCCACTGAAGGCAAATTGCACAAGAGCATAAAATTGAGTTTTCAGATAATATATGTTACATTTTGTCTGTAAAAAAAACCACAGGAATTTGGAATACAATGGCAAGAATGCACATAAAATCAGCAACTTTGCTTATTGAAACTTTAAAATTATTATGGGCATGGTTGCTAGAATTTCTGCATTCTGTAAATTCGCCATTTTCAGGATACATAAATTTGACAGTTTTTACTGCAGTAATATCAAGTTTTACTGCATCAGTTTTTACTGCAGTAATCATTTAAAATAATAGCCTGAATAGGTTTTAAACCAACTTATATCAAATATCAAAGCTTTTAAACTATTATTCAATATATGTATAATTTTTACACCTTTTTCTTTTACAAATAATGTTCAAAATTCTAGACTCCTACAAATATTATTTTCTTAATTTAAATTTAAGAATGGGCAACTTCATATTTAATCAAGGTTTCTCACATTTTGAATGTTCATAATAAGAGTGCATTTCTACTTCATCGATAAATATTTTAATACAATTTTTGCTCATTTATTTAAGCTGAAAATAAACCTTAAAATAATAAATTTAATACTGATGATAAATACCAGTATGGTATTCATATATCCTCACATATTTACAATCAAAAGGTATTAAAGATTAAAAAATAATAATGGATAAAGATGGAAAGGATTGTTGTGAGTAGTCAATTCAAACAAATAAAACAGAAACATATTCGTAATGAAATAAGTCCTGTCTTTAACTTTCATGAAAACCAAAACCAATGAAATTAAACTGATTTTCAGACAGGTAATCCTCACAAATACCGTAATTTCCGGAAGAAATGCCGCATCAGCGTAAACGGCGCACTCGAGAAAAATGGTGGGAAAAAAATTAAAATTACACAGAAACGCCGCAATAGATTAAATTGCGCGTGACATCGTCGTGGGCCGTATAGATGCAAAAACTCAACCTAAGTCCTGATATATGACATACCATCTCCCTTCGGAATAGTTTTTCATTTAAAAATGATCATCGGCTTTAGCTTGTCACCATTTGCGGCACAAGCTAACACACATGTAAATGACGTTCTTTCATGCCCCGTCATAAACATAGATACAGTTTTTGCACCAGTTTCATCAACAGTTCTGTTTGCAGGAGAGTCGAAAGCTAACGGCGTTTCATCCATATTTATTATCTGCGACCGAAGAAGTTTTTTTTGTCAATAATAGCTGTCACATATTTTAGAAAAGATGACTTTTTATACTGCCAGTCCATTGGTAATTGTTGCCCGACTGTTGTTCTAGTACGCACAGAAATATTTTTTCTTTTCATAAATCTGCTACACCTCCTTTGAAAGCATTTATGTTCATTCCATTGGTAATTGTTGCCCGACTGTTGTTCTAGTACGCACAGAAATATTTTTTCTTTTCATAAATCTGCTACACCTCCTTTGAAAGCATTTATGTTCATTCGTTTTGCTATAAATTTTGCTTGTAAGCGAATTCTTACAGTCGAAATTGCCATTCCCTTTCCTTGTTGCTCCTTTATCCAGTTTGCTAGGTCGTCCTCTTGATTTGGCCACCTTACAGTACCATTTCTTTTGGCTCGTTTCTGTTGTGGCATATTTTTAAGAAGTTCTTTTTCAGTTCTCCAACGTCGAATACATCTGTCGTCCACTTCAAACTCTCGAGCAGCTGCTCGATTTCCAATTTGTTCAGCACGTGAAATTACACTAAGCTTAAAACCAGCAGTATAGCTTCTGTGCCGTTTAGGGACATTTTCAAAAATCTTCCGCTCCCTTCTTACTTAAAAACTATCCAACAAGTACTTGTACCCAAACTGATGGGATCTGTATCTGGCAGAATGCCAAGAAAAATCCATTCATGCTGTAGGGGAAATACGTCAGAGTTCGTTATTGCGAGGCAGGTGGAGTCGTGTCCGCCTTTGAAAAAAATTGCAGAAAAGGCAGGGGTGGGGAGAGGATGGGTCCTGGAAGATTCATCGAATGGCAGAGGAGACACTATTCGAACTGATGAGAATGCTGATTTGAAAGGGAGAAGAATGTTATTGTTCTGAGATCTCGTTTAGGGTGAATAAGGCATGTAGGTCCGTTGAAAGAATGTAAACAAAATAATGTTCATAAAAAGCAACTGAGTGGTCTTTTGTGTGGGGACAGCACCAGTCTATGCACAATGACAAGGCCATCCAAACTATGTACAATGACCATCATAGGAAATATTTTATTTTTAGTGCACCTAAATGCCGCATGGGTAGAAACACCGCACCCGCTGAAAATTTAAGTTTTAAACACGTAAGCGCCGTGGCGTTTCTTCCGGAAATTACCGTATTTTCTATTCACTTTTGAACAAATGACGAAAAATGCAAGTACCTAGTAGCTTCATCAAGAATCAAAATTTTGGGATCCTTGAGTAAAGCTCGTGCAATAGCTATTCTTTGTTTCTGGCCACCAGATACAGTAGTTCCTCTTTCACCAAGCACAGTATCATAACCATCATTAAAGCTACATATGAAGTCATGAGCATTTGCAAGTTTGGCAGCTTCAATAACCTACAGAATATGTACAAAACTAAACTTTTTTTAGCTACAACATAACAATACCAGATTTACATTAGATCATGTAAAACGTTTAGATAAACCAAAGATTATTTATGATTTAATACTGATATTTTATTAAAAGCAGTTCATGCGCTCGATGTAATTACATTACCATTTTTTAAATATTTTCAAAAGACTAAAAATATTGCAAGAGAACTCAGTTAATGAGCAATCATATAACAAATATAAAATTAATAAAGAATTAAAATTTGTGTATACTGACGATGTCAGATAAAAGTTTTTAAAATATTTAAATTTTTAATGTATTAACATAATAGACAATTTAATTCTTCAATTTATTTCTTCAACTTATTTTTCAATCTAAAATGTTGGTGGTAGAAGTGAAGTTTTAATTACTACAGTTCTGGCTATGCTTGCACTAGAAAGTAGCTAAAATTTGAAAAATAATGACTACATATTACTTACCATTAAATTCTTAGAAAATTTCACAATTCCAGTATTACTCTGCAGTTTTTAATAATAAAAACTTTAACATTCTTGTTCTGAATATGTTGCTTATGATATAGCTAATTACTTAATTTATAAAAACGCATATTTTATTTATAGCTATACAGGGTGATTCTAAATTAGTTTTACAAATTAAGAGGGGTGATAGCACTCATCCAGATGAGCAATAATTACCATGCAACACAGGGTCACATTCCACTGTGAGAGAGGCAGAAAAGAGGAATATTAGAATTTCAACCTGAACTTGTGTTGGGAGAGTGAATGAACAAGACCAAAAGTTGCACAATGAATTTAGTGAAAAACTCACAGAGAGTGCACAAAATGGATAAAACTGAAAACTTGGCATTTGAGTGTCAATTTGAGCTCAGACTTTGATGGCAAACACTAAAATGCACATCTTTGGTTCGCAAGTTATCAGTTTTGCAAACAAATTGCAAAAAGTTAATTAACAAGGGCTGAATATTATCAACTAACTCCAATTTCTGCAGTATGCAAAGACAAGAATGAAAAGCTCCTTAAGTTCATGCTGTGTTCCGGCTGTCAGAACTTCGTGTCCCATAGAAGGGTGCTTCAAGTAGAAAGAGTGCAGCACAGTAGTCCAGGAGGACAGGCTAGAAGATGGCGAAGGGAGAAAAAACTGCTATCTTGATAGTATCAAACCTACCTTTGAGTTGGAGTTAGTTGATATTATTCAGCCCTTGATTAGATAATTAACTTGTTGCAATCATTTGCGAGGTTGAGACCTTGTGAACCAAAGATGTGCATTTCAGTGTTTGCCATCAAAGTCTGAGCTCAAATTAACACTCAAATGCCAAGTTTTTGGTTTTATCCATTTTGTGCATTCTCTGCAAGTGTTTCACTAAACTAATTGTGCAACTTTTGGTCCCATTCATTCGCTCTTCTAACACTGTTTAAGTTCAGGTTGGAATTTTAATATTCTTCTTTTCTACCTTACAGAGTGGAATGTGACCCTTGTTCTATGGTAATTATTGCTCCTCTGAATGAGTACTAGCACCCCTTTTAATTTGTAAAAACAATTTAGAATCATCCTGTAGATTTGTAACAAACTGCCTACATTTTGCAATCAAACAGAACAAAAATCTCTATACTTTTAAATGCATGTTTAAATCTGCTATATAAGTAAACTTGTTAGAGAAATATTGCTTTCTTTGATATACAAAAACTTCTAACTGAAACAGATGACTCAGATATAAATAAAATAATTAAACATCTGATAAACTGTCAACAAATTTGTTCTAAATTTAATATTTCTACAGAATAATCAAATTGTAATTAAATATAGAATGATTTTTCATCTGAAAGAATATTTGAAATACTCATATATAATGAAGATTTATATATTAATTAATAATTGTATTAAATATAGAATGATTTTTCATCTGAAAGAATATTTGAAATACTCAGATATAATGAAGATTTAAAAACCAAAGATTTTATTAAATAAAATCACCTCTGAGTCTGAAGCATCAGGCCTTCCATACCGGATATTTTCCATTATAGACGTTGCAAAAAGAACAGGTTCCTAAACAAAAAAGAATTCATATTTTTAATTTTTTTAAATCTCTAAAATATTTAAATAGTAAAAATAGAATCTTTTATCTAACCAGGTTAAAATTAATTTTTTCACCCAATTAAAAAAAATCTTACTTGATCAATGTAACCAATAATATTTCCACGTAACCAGCTAGGATCTAATGATTTTATATCATAACCATCAATTGAAATGTTTCCGCTTCCAACATCATAAAATCTTTCTAACAAAGCAGCAACCGTAGATTTACCTGAAAGTAAAATATTGTTATGGATTTGGTATTTAAATAGTTGAATTATAAATTAAATTGTTTTAATCCCCTTGTAGTTCAGCGCGTGATGAATATTAAAGGAAAGCTAAGCCAAAAAATTAAAAATACAAGAGCACGTGCATTTAACATTTAATAAAAAAAATATCTCTTTTTGATTTCGAGAAAGCATTAGAAAATTCTCGCGCATTTTAAAATCTTATAAAAAGGAGGGAAACCTCTGAATTCAGTTAGTTGCTGTTTTAAGTTTGTTTAGAAAAATGCTCTTGTTGACTGTAGCAAATTTGCGGATTAGCTTTCTTTAGCTATTTTGAATTAAGTTCTCTTGAACGTTTGAGTAGTTAAAAGATAACTACTGTGAGATATTGTAATACTGCACGAATATCTGAGGAAATTTAAGCATTTTTATTGTGGTAATAATAAATTTTGTTCATTTTTCATCTGACTTGTGCATTCATTTCATAACGAACCCGTACGCACGCAACAATATTTTATATAGCTTGTTTAAAAATATTCAGATTATATTATGAAATATGAATACTTTATACCTCCACCAGAGAGACCACATAATGCAACCATCTTCCTTGGAGGCAATGTGAGATTAAAATTCTTTAAAACAACCTATACAATAAAAAAATTTTTTAATTATCTTACAAATTAAATGATAATATAATTATTAAATATCATGACAACTTTCAGTGCCTTGATACTTAGAGAAAGTGAAAAGTTCTTCCTTCTTTCAATTTTTGAATTTCCTCATATTATCATGCATGTACATTACGCAAAAAGATGAAAAAAGGGGAGGACAGTTCTATCTCCCATTCTTTGATTGACAAAATTCAAATTGCGGTTTTCACGTCTAAAAAGCGTGACTTAGGATATATATTAGATTTATACATATAGCATTGTTCTTCTGCAGATATTTTGACACAAAATCAGACTTTTTCTGAACCGACATGCCAATTTTTTTTCCATATTTCGATTTTACGACACAAATTATGTCTAAATATTAAATTCTGTAAAATCTGATGCAAAATTTATGAGGAAATTCAAAAATTTATCCTGGCATATTCTTTTTTGTTTGTGCCAAGAATAATTCACTTGGTGAACTTTTTAATTTATAGCAATCTATTTTCCTTCCTTTTTTTTCATTGCAGAAGCACGGGCAAAAAAGTCAGCATTCTTACTTTCAAATAATTATAACAAAGTGCGTAAAACACATTTGGATTATTATTGCTTATAATAGACATACCAAATTTCAAAACTCGCCAATATGTAAATTCACATATACCTTAGAAAATTTTGAATAAAAACTAATTTTTCATAAGTTTTCAAAATTTTAAAATGCTGCCACATTTTGTCAGAGAGTTTGTTTTGAACAATAAAAAATATCCCATATTCAATTATTATTATCATTTTGTTGTTGTTTTTTCATCTAGATTGATATCAGATGGTTTTAACTGGCATTTTTCTTCTTGAATGGATGAAATCAGTTGTATTTATCTATTTTTTTTTTTCAAACCAATATGGAGAATAATGTTGATAAAACTTCTCTCAAGCACCTGCAAAAGATTGATGATATTTGAAATGATGCTGTGAGGTACAGGTATCAAGTTAGTCAAATGTAGCTCAAGAAACCAAACATGCAGAAAATGCCCAGTGTTCTGAAATACAGCAGAAGAATATTGTTGCCAATTTGCCTCAGACTAAGGAGAACACTGCAGAGCGGCACATGTGTATTAACTGTATCACTAAATATTCTGCAAAAACTGTGTTTTTTAAAATTTTTATTTTATATAATTTGAGTTTTATTATGGTATTTGTAATGTGCATATGGCAACAATTTTATAACTCATCATGATATATTTTCTTGGGTATGTTATTCTATGTAGTTAAAAACTTGGAACACGTATTCAGAATAGCACCTGAATGCTGCTAGAGTGAAAATAAACATGAAGTAAAATTTAAAGATTACATTTATTCTATAATCTGTTTTTATGTAGATTTATCAACAGAGTTGATTCAGTTTGTGTGCTCCGATCTGACCCAATAGTGGAAATAAATTTTTAAGAATGTAAAACAAATTTGGCCTTTAATTTCCGGACTGAAGCAAATTAAAAACCGATTAGTGTTAGGATTCTTCTAGACTGAAGCTCTACAGAGATACAAAGACTAAGTACCCTTATCTGAAACTCTTTTATTAGTTTAATTACTGTTGTTAATTCAAAATGTCGCTGAGAAATATTTTGGTAAAGAAACACAAGTCAAAAATGCAGAGAACGGAATTAAGGCAAAAGACACCAAATGAAAATACGCAACAAATAGATTCCGAAATACTAAAAATTAAATTTAAAGCACTTGAGACAGAAATAAAATTCTAATTTCTATTCTTTGATTAGAATTTGTACTGATGAAAATATGGATATTCACATAAAACAGAAAGAAGAAAATGATGATATACTCTTAAATGTAGAAGTAACATGTAAATGTAAAAATGGAATTAAATCATAAACTAGTCCGATTTGTTAAGGAAATTAAAAATCAGAGTTGTCTGACTATATGAATACTGAGAACTATGTTAAATTACCCAAAATTACTTTTTGCCATGGTTTTCTGGTAATTTTCTGAATGACTTTTTTTCAAAGATATTTTTAGCTAGTGTTGGTCCAAATCATAATTTAACAGATGTGGCAAAACTTCAATTTTTAAAACCCGTCCTAAGAGGAGATGCTTATTTTACTGTGCAGTCAGTATCCATAATTGACTCTAATTATAAGTTAGCCTTCTTTCTACTAGAAGAAAGGTTCTTAAATTAATGCAAACAAGTGTATGCTCATCTGAAATATTTTATGAACATGCAGCCTATGCAAAATAAGTCTGTGTCAATAATATATAAATTTGATTATTACCAATATATAAACTTGATACAATATATAAACTTGATTAATATTACAAATGAATGTGTGAGGTCATTAGAAGTTTTAAGCTGAAAGGTTAAAGGGTTTTCTTCCAATGTATTTGCATAATTTTTTTTTTTTTTTTTTTTATCGCTGAATCAGCAGACATACTTAATTTAAAAATTCAAAAGAAAAACACTTTTACTCCCGTATACAAAGTAAAGGAAGTATCGTAATTGCAAAAAATTTCAAGTATCATATTTCAACCAAAATATCCACTTTGCCTGCTCTTGAATCCTTTTGAACGATGTTTTTGCATTACATCTGTACATATGGACAGAATAAAGGACTCTTTTTCCTAAAACAGATTGAAAAATAAATTTAAAATGGATTTAGATGATATTTTATATACTCACTCTGTTAACGAGTTCAGTGAGCTCAGTTTTTTTTTATTCTTACATGATGGTAAATTATGCATTTTTTGCTTAAAAAGTGGTTGAGTTACACTGTTCTTATATTCTTGCTAAGTTTTTTGCGTTTTTTAGTTAATTTGCATGCAATAATTGTAGAATTATCAACAATTTAAAATTTGTTTAAGTGGTAGGAAGCCGCCATTTGTTTACATTTGAAACTGTTAAAATTCAGTTTCTGCACCTTCAGTGTCTTCTTGCCCAGCGGGACCAAAAGTGAACTTTCACTTATGTACACTAAAAAATCTGCCATCTTGTCCACTGGCCGAATTGCTTGTTTTTGCATAGAAACTCTAATTTTAATTGTAAAAATTGTTTTTTAAAACTGTTTTAACTGTATTTGGTGTTTTATGTTTTTCTGTATTTTGCAATTTTTAATGAAGATGTTTTATGTTTTTATGCATTTTTTCCTTGTTGCAAAGTTAGAACTGAATCAATTGACTGAGAAATATATCTCTAAAGAAATTCGAGGAAATAAGTTAAAATGAAATGCAAAAAAAGGGCCATACAAGGAAGTCGTGGTGTCCACATCAGATTTTTTCTATATAATGAAATGCTAGGTGATTATCTCAAACAAGGTATTACTGAGAAAGTGTCAGATAAAAATATGCCTCTCGGTTAACCACTTTTTTTACCTACCACATCAACCTAGAAATTAATGCATCAATGAAGACTAGGATAGTCTTTAATAACAGCTTACATAAGGTGGAATTACTCATGGATTGTCTATGGACAGGAACAAATTAAGTCCAGCATGTTTCATTTGCTAATTAATTTCTGATTAGCTAAAGTTGCTATTTCAGCAGATGTGGCAAAAGCATTTCTGAAGATTGTTTTGGAAAAAAAGGACCAAGAAGCAGTGCAATTCCTTTTTGTAAAAAACCCTCAATCAAATAATCTCAAATTAGTAACACAGAGATTCGAGTATGCATATTTTGAAATTAATTTGAGTCTGTTCTTGTTGGCTGCAACAATTAAAGAACACATATAAAAATATCTAGATGAGCAGGCAAATGTAGTTTAAATATTGAATTCTTGTATTTATGTAGACGACTTTATTACAGGACAAAACAGAGTAGAGGAAGTTCTAAGCTTATCACATAAAGCCAAAAATATTACGAATAAAGCAAATATGAACTTGCATAAATGGGTATCTAATGATCTTGAACTGATGAAAAGATGTGAAAAAGAAGGGTTTGAAATCCATCTGCAAAAAGTCAATGATTCAAATGAGACATTTAAGATCTTAAGAATATCCTGGTATACTAATCAAGACAGTCAGAGCACATAGTTTGATATAACTCTTAAAAATAAATGAAATATAAAACAGTTTACCTTAAAAACTGCAGGGAAGATTTTTGATCTCCTTGGGTTAATAATTCTATTCATTGTTAGATTAAAATTTTTACTATAAGAACTTTGGGTTCAAAAACTGACAGGGGATGATAAACGACCTACAGATATCACTCAAGAGTGGACAAAATGGTGTTGTGAGTGTCCTAAGTGATATCAGAGTTCCTAGATTTGTTTTGAATCCTGAAGCCAATTCTATAGCAATCCACTGCTTCTCAGTTGCCAGTCAAAGGTGTATGGTTTGGTTGTTTACGAAGAATGCGTAATCATGAGCAAATTTTTTCTAGAAAGTTAACACAGCCAACAGACTCCAACGAAAGATAATCCAGCAAATACTGATGGTGGTGTTTGAATGGTGTATGTTGTTTGAACTGACTTTCTTGTAAATGATTCCAGATGGTGGTCATGCTATGACTTTCTAACACATCCCAAGATTCCTCAACAGGACTTGCCAACTAAGCTTGCTGAAGAAATTTGTCCAAACAAACCTAAAAAGGACTGAATAATGATTCTAAATTAAATTTTATTACATGTAGTGAACCAAATTTTTAAATGATATTCTTAATTTGCCTGCTAGTTATACTAATTCATATTGTAAGTTTCATATTCAAGTTTATCTATAATTGTAAGAATTCCAAGATAAGTAATGGAGTACTTTCTTTAGCTGAGGTCTGAATTTTATTGAAAGTCCAGAAAAGATCATTATAGTTTAAAATACTTTCATTTAGGATCACAATTTCTCTTACATCAATTATGACAAAGGTTCTGGCCACTTAATGTCAGAAACAATTCCAGAAAAATCATCTATAGATGTGAGACATGTTTTAAGAACAAACCCGTCACAGTTCAACAATTAATGGCTGAATTGCCCAAAGAGAGCACTACACCACCTTACCCATTTAACACCACTGGTGTTGTTTTCTGTAGCCCACTTGCTATAAAATTTAACAGTCAAAGTGAGGGAATTGTAAACAAAATTTATGTCATAGGATATGTATGTATAAGCATTAAAAGCCACACACTTTGTAACAGACTAAGCAAGCCAATCTTTTACTGCAAGCTTAAAACTTTAAAAAAAGAAAAAGAAAAAAAACTGGAAGAGGAAAGAAAATGTGCTAAAATAACAAATTCAATCCACCCATGTCACCAAATTTCAGTGGAACTGGGGAAGTCAGGGTTAAATTGTTTAACAGTCATTTGAAAAGAATTGTTGGTAATCAGAAGAATTCTTAACAATTGTAACAGAAACTGAAGGAGTCAAACCCTCTCACTCCAATTTCAGCTGACTAAAATATTGAAACTTTGACCCTCAGGTCACTTTTTGGTTGTCAGATCTCTCATAACTTTTGCTGAACCCCATTTATCCAACATAAATGAAAATAGACTTTCTAAATGACAAAGAATTACTAATTACACACAGAAAATCTGGAAATTGTGGATATATGATTATCTTAATAATTTATAATGGTGGAAAATTTTAGAAGACATTCAGTTGGGAACGCTTGTATTAATAAAAGATGAAAAATTACTCTCTACCAGATGGTTAGTGGGGAAAATGACTGTCACATTCTTGTCACTAGATGGCAGGCATCTCTTCCTTTTACTTTTTCTCTAATTGAGTTCTGAGAACGAGACTAGATTGGAACTGCTCGGAGGAGCGTAAAGACTCAAAATTAAAATGTACTGTCTTAAAATAATTATTACCTACCTTGTAAATAGTGTATATTAGTGCTTTATTTCAATAAATAATTAAAAGACAAGATGGAATGTTAATTCTAATAGAAACTCTTACTGGAAAATGTGATTATTAGAAGCCTGGCATCGAGAACACTGAAGATGCAGCAGGTAAGGAATTTTACATTAATTTTATTGTAAATAGAAGAACCTGGTGCAACATTTTTATGGTGCCCGAACAGGAACGCCTGGTTTTTTGAAAAGTTCTAATAAGGAGAATTCAAAAGCTGAATATTAAAATTGAAGATTTTAGTACTTGTTCTTGAAGTATTCAGCAAAAGAATAATTTTGTTTTCTAAGTAAGAGTTAAATATTTCCTTTTTCATGAGACGTGTATTTTATGTAAGTGTTTGAATCTAAGAAAGATAATGGCAGAGGAAAAAGTAGATAAATTAAAAAAGAAAAGAAATATCTTAAGAAACTGCCGTTACAAAACTATTTAAGGAAAATTCGAAAGGTGAATTAAATAAATCTAGAAGGTAGTGTCAATGAGCTCGAAGAATTGTTAGGAACAGCTTAATGCTAAAACCGAAACACTATCTAATGCCGATGTAGAAGTTGAACCAATTCTGAGTGTAGATGAATTCGAAAATGAATTCGAAATTACACAAACAATATCGCGAGAAGATAACGTTATGGAAATTCAGGCTTAAACGGAATTCAGAAACGTATTAAGGAAATTAATCATGACCCTAGTGCGAAGATTTCAGCAGTTTCGGTCCAGGATAATGACTTAAATGCACCGAACACTCAGCAAAATATTAAAGACACACCTAATGTTAAATTACCAAAACTTTCGATTTCCGTATTTTATGGAAAGAGTAGACAATGGCTTACTTTTTGAAATAGTTTTCAGTCCTTCAATACATAATAACGAATCATTGAACAAAGTAGACAAATTTAATTACCTGAAAGCATATTTAGGAGGAACAGCTGCTAGTTGCGTTCAAGGACTTCCGCTATCGCCGAAACATTATGATTCAGCAATTCAAATCTTAGACGACCGTTTTGGAAGGAGAAACATTCTTATTAATTCACACATGAATAATTTGCTGAATATTGAATCATTAAAAAATGCGAATGACATAAAAACATTTCGTAATTTGTATGATAAAGTACAAACACAGATTAGATGTCTCGAAGTGTTAGATGTTGTATCGAAATCTTACAGCGCTTTGCTGTCTCCGATGATTTTGAAGTTATTGCCTTCAGAATCAACGCTTGAATTTCATAGAACACAAAATGTTGGCACCGATTATAACATAAAAGATTTAATGTCATTTTTACACACAGAACTTTCATCCCGCGAACGCCACAAGGTCAACGGTTTCACAACAGCAAAAAGTATCCGATCGGCGAACAGTCTTCTCCCCACCCCCTGCAACGAAAAGCGCATGTGGTCTTCACAAATAGACATAATAAACCGAAAGAATTCCGAACCGCCTACAGATTTGCTTTACGAAATCCGAATGCAGGGAGGAAAAATATGAACTTGCATCTTCTGTAATCAATTCCACAAGATTTATGACTTGTAGTTTCCGTTTCCGGCTTATCATTACAAGAAAAAAGGGACATTTTAAAAAAGGAAACGTGCTTGCTATAAATGTCCTAAAACCACCACCATCTTGGCGCGAAATTGCAGAACAATAATAACTTGTTCTATTTGTAAAAAACATACATGCAACTATTATGTGTAATTAAACAAAATCCTTCTGTCAAGGTTTCGGAAATTAAAAAAGATGAAGAGATAGAAAATAACTTTCAAATCAAGCAGGATGTTCAGATGTATATTTGCAAACTTTAGTTGTTCGCATATATGAAAGAGGGAATAACCAATTTGTTCGAGCGATAATTGACACCGGAAGTCAAAACTCATACATAAGCAGGTATGCAGCAGAAAGGTTACAATTAAGAAGCTTAGGTGAACAAGCGTAACCCATGGACTTTTCGGTGGCATAGAAGTTTCGGAAAAACATAAACGTTATAGAATAAAATTGGGTAGCGTAGATAAACGGTATAATTGCGAAATCAATGTATTAGATAAAAGAAAAATATGTTCTTCGGTCCCTAAAATAAAAAATATACACTGGATTAGGGAACTCAGAAGAAGAGGAATTTACGTCAGTGATGTTTTTGAAAATGGAAATTGCAGATTATTCCAGGAGAACCCCCAAGAGATTCATTTGTTGTTAGGGGCAGATGTTGCTGCAAATTTATTTACAGGTAAAATCGAAGTTCTTTCTTGGGGAAGATTAGTTGCTGTAAGTACAAGACTTGGGTGGACAGTCATGGGGAAAGCAAACACTGAGAATTATGAAATAGAAAATTCCTTTTCCACGCTTTCGTTATCTTTACATATTTCTGATGCCATGCTGTCAGAACTGTGGAGGCTTGATGTTATTGGAATAACAGATCCAGTTACAAAAAAGGCTAGAGAGGAAAGGGATTTGCAAGCAAAATTGCAATTCGAAAATTCTGTATCTCTAAACGAAGAAGGGCAAGTGCTTTCATTTAACACTTAAAAAAAAGGGATCAGTACATTAATATTAATGCTTCAATTTTAACAAATAAGCATTTTCAAAATAAGGATTGTATTTAATATTGAATATTTTACAACAGATTATAAAGAAACAAGACAGTCTATAATACCGAATTTATACAGTAAGTATTAAAATTTAATCTACCTGAAAATTACAGTAAATATTAAAATTTAATCTGTAAGAAAGTCTACTTGAAAATTACAGTAAATATTAAAATTTAAGCTGTAAGAAAGTCTACCTGATCTGGATAAGTGGGATTAAAATCAGGTAGATTAAATTTAATCTACCTGAAAATTACAGTAAATATTAAAATTTAATCTGTAAGAAAGTCTACCTGATCTGGACGAGTGGGATAAGCAAATGTAACATTGTTAAATTTAACTTCTCCATAGAGCTCATCATCTCTGATTCTTTTACCACCTTTCAGTGGTATCCTTGGTGATAAATTCATGTACTGAAATTAACAACATAATTTAGACATAACCAAAGAAAATAACAACAGAAATCTTTCTACATCTAAGAGATGAGACAGGTATTTAAAAAATTATAATTTATAGTAATAAAAAAGTTAATTAAGTAAAATTTTTCTATTACATTGTTAAACATCTAAAAATTCAAAATTTATTTTACTAAAAAAAATTTAGAAATTCAATTATTGAAATATTATTTAATAATTCAGTAAAGAAATCAAAACTATCATGCAATTAAAAAATATAAAAGAGACAGGCATAGAATACATACATTCAAAATGTGTATGATGGTGTATCTCTGACACAAAATCTAACATGTTAGATGCACCGAAAACAAGTTTTTTACAGTGCAACACACAAAACAACTGACAAACACACATATTAGATAAATATAAGTTTAAAACAATAGGACACCTAGAAAATCAACAGAAATGCTAAGACCATGAAAGCTGAGACAAAACAATACAGGTAATGATATGAGATGTGTACATGAGTTAAATTATAAAAGTTAAGATACATTAAAATGCACAGTATTAAAATACCAACGTGTAGACACTAAAACAAAAATCAAATCAAATTATATAGAATAAGTAGTTCAGGTATTGAAATAAATAGGTATTGGTCTCTTTTCTGATTATATGGTCAAGAGGCAAGTCACAGTCATTAAAATACTCGAGTCTAAGATTGTTAAAATACGGATATTCTGCTAAAAAATTATGCACAGAAAGAATAGTATTACAATGTTTACAAATAGGTTCATTCTTGACTTTTAATAGGTAATTGTGCATAATTCGAGAATGACCAATTCCAAGACGGGTTAGAATTACTTCCTCCTTCCAGTTTCTAGTGGCTTTCTAATATTCTACTTGTGGTTTTACCTTTCTTAACTTACTAGTGAGCTGATTATTCCAGAAACTTGCCATTTATTGAAAATCCTCTGCTTGATGACTTTCTTAATGTCTCTGTAAGGGACAAGCCAACATGATCATTCCTCAGCAGACTTTGCAGTGATATCTGCCAGCTCATTTCTCTGTATGCCCACATGTCCAGGGACCTAGCAGTAGAGGATCTGATATCCTTGAATTCTCAAATTCAGATTTACACTTTGGGTTTTTAAAATGAGTGTATTCCGAGCATCTGAAATTGCTTCTAAAGCTTTTAGTGCACTAAACAAGCTAGTATAAATAATAAAAATTTTCTGGAACTATTTGGATATAAAAGAAAGTGCGTAATAAAAAGCAGTTAATTCTGAAGTAAGCACAGAGCATGCCATGTGTAAGTGCTTAACCCTCCATATGGTTTCCAATCATGAAGGCTGCTCCAACATGATTTGCTGCTTTTGATCCATCCATGTACCATGGGTATTTAACTGCAGTATGCTCTGAACTGGGGATGTCCTAAATGCTCCAGAATATATCCGCAGAGCCTGATGATGAATAGGATCTAGTTTCATAAAACAGAAAATCCATAGAAAACTGAACCATAGTCCAATCTATGGAGTGGAGAAGTGCTCTATGGATGTGGAACAGAGAGCCACATTCCGCGCCTTTAGAGGTGTTGATCAGGACTTTTTAAAATATTTAATATCTTCAAATACTTCTTCTTCAAGTACTGCACATGTGGAAGGTAGGTCAGCTTTCTATCAAAAAGCATCCCTAAAACTTTTACTTCAGATACAACTGGAATCATTGACTCTTGAAGGTAAAGCTGAGGTTCAGGATGGAGATCTCTCTTTCTGCAGAACTCCAAACAGTCTTCTGTTTTGAGAACACAAAACCTTTCCCATTTGCCCATTCCTGAATCCTGTATACAGCGATCTGCAATTGCCTCTCCACGTATCTCAAATCTGCACCTTGACATCTGATCTGAAGGTCGTCAACATACAATAATCCTGAAACCATAGAGGTTGCTGTGCAAACCAGTAACGTGGAGATTTCACGAAATGCCATATCTCTATGCCTTATCATAAGCCTTTTCAATGTCAAAGAACTAGGTGGTTTTGTTTCACAAAGGCTTAGAGGTTTCCAAAAGTAACATATTGTCAACAGGTGTCCTACCTCTACGGAACCCAGTCTGAAAATGGCGAGACAACATTATTCTTTTCTAGGTAATAGACTAGGTGGCTGTTTACCATTTTTTTAAATAGCTTGCAGAGACAAATGATAAGTGTGATGGGCCAAAAGTTAGATGGATTCTTCGGGTCTTTCCCTGGCTTAGTTATGGGAATGACTACAGCTTTCTTCCATGCATTGGAAAAAGCATGCTCCTTCCACACTCTATTATAAAGAGTGAGGAGGGCAGTCAATGACTTACAGGACAGATGCTTCAGCATTTCATAACTTAAACTATCTGGATCCAAGGTAGATCTACATGTTTGAAGCAAAGCTTTCTTTATTCAAGCATGTTAAAATCAGTGTTATAAGATGCAGAGTTGGAAGAGTTCAAGGTAAAGGGAATTTTCTCAGTGTAACTTCTGAGGAAAAAATTATGATGCATAACTGCTGCTACTAGAGACTGCAGCAAAAGTAAGTCTTCCCAATAATTTTTACAGTTTCTTCTGTGGTGATAAACACTCGTCCATCTCTTTCCAAAAAGGAAAGAGTGTGGTCTTTATACATTCTGCATGCCTTTCAAACTACAGTAGAAGTCCAGAAATCCGCAAAGCCTGGGACCAGAGGTTGTGTGGATTTTAGGATTTTGCAGATGTCAGGACAGAAAAGATAAATCATAATATTCAGACTAAAAGTGCAAAATAAATAAGGCATATTAGACACATTTAATTAAATTATTATATACATTATTGCAATAACTTACTTATATGCATTAAATTATTATTACATATATAAATTGATTACATTATTCATTGTATTATATATACACAGCATCGAGGTTTGCCAATTTCGCCTCATGCAAAGATTTCTGGTTTCGGATTCCGGTGTTAGAATCACTGTTGCTGTAAAATTTCACCAGCTTTTCTTTCTTTTTTCATATATCACACACAATCGTATTGCAATTCCATACGATTCTGCTATAAAATGCACCTATCTCCATCTTTTGCAGAATTTGCACTTTCTGCATTACCGTCAATGCAACGTGTTTACGTTTTTCATCATTGCAAGCAGTAAAATCATGAGTGCATTTCTTATCTGTAATTGTATTAAAAAGGGCTGAAATTTAAAATATTCTTAATTTATCCACAAAATATCCGGATAAAAGAAGATGCAGCACTAAATAATCTCGTGAAATAACAAAGATTAGAAAATACAACGTGAATCGTGAACTTGAAAGAAGAGTTGAGTGAATCGTCTGCTTTCTTACCTTAATGCAGAGATTAGAGAAAAAAAAAACTTATATCATGATGTCAATAATTGGGTATTTCCGTTATGACTCATTATTATTCGGTAAGTATTTTTTCTTCAATATTTCGTACTCAATATTGTGGTTTCCGGAACCTATTGTAATGTATTTTGCAGTAATTTACAAAACAGACAATCTTCTTAGTAGAACATAAATTTTATTTCTAGTTCTCGGTGAAAGACAAATTTTATAAAATTCTTAAGTGGCAAAATTTTAATACTACTTCTAGCTGCAAAATCTTCAGAATACTAAATTTTTTTTTAACAATATCTCTCGTTGCTGAGTAACGGTTTGATACAAATATGGCGTTGCCACTTCAACAATAATTATATTTATTTATTAAATAACAAGATATTACAACCTCTCCCCCCTCCAGATAAACTTTAATTTATATTTTTATAAATTAAAGTTTACAGTTTTTAAAACAATAATATCAGCACAACACAGAATTAAAATACAATTAGAGAATTAAACAAGAAATAACATAATAACATACACTGAAGAAGAGAGAAAGGAACAAAATATTTTTTTTATCTATATAGAGAAACAAATTATTTAATCAGGCCAGGGAGTACGACTTAATGCGTCTACATTTTTATGGTTTTTACCACTTCGATGAACGATCGTGTAATTGTAGGGTTGTAGTACTAGTGCCCATCTCATAAGTCATGGATTTAGACTCGCACATTATTTTTGAGCCAAACTAAGGGATTATGATCGGTCATGATGAGGAATTTAGTATGCCTGTCTAAATAACATTGAAGTTTCTTTACAGCAAATATTATGGCGGCACCTTTTCTGTTACCTTTACTTTTTACAGCAACTGTATGTGTTACAGAACTAGAATACTTTTTTTCAGTTTCTGTTAAACTTCTTACTGAGGTATAATACTGGATGTTCATTGTCTCGTTCATCTTTTTGAGCTAAAATGACACCCATACCAGAGTCTTTGAAAGCATCAGTTTGCAAAATAAAACTCCTTATTGAAATCAGGTGCATGTAGTATAGGCCTTTGAGACAGTTTCTTTCCTTTAGCTCTTCAAATGCTTTTTGTGCACTCTTCTGTCCAATTTGTTTTCCCTTTCTTTTAAGTTTCCTTTCAAAGTTTCTGGTTAAAGGTGCTGCGATAGATGAGAAACATGGGAACATGTAATGATTATAATATCCCGCTAATAATCCTAAAAATGCTCTGACTTGACTTTTTGTGGATGGCACTGGAAAATCAAGAATAGCTTTTACTTTCACTTCACTTGGCATTCTTATACCACGACCTACAATATGTCCTAGATATTTTACTCTATCTTGAGCAAATTTACATTTTATAGGTTTAATAGTTAAAACCAGCGTCCTTTATTTTTTATCAAAATGGCTTTCAGGTGACTTTAGATGTTCTTCCCAGGTGTTTGAAAAGATTGCCACGTCATCTGAATATGGAACAGCAAAGTTTTCACAACCGTGAAGGATTTCGGCCATCATTTTACTAAATGAAAATGGTGCATTTTTAAGTCCGAAAGGCATCCGTAGAGGTCTAAATGTGCCAAAACTTGTAACAAAAGTGGCTAATCTTTGAGCATTAGATGTTAAAGGTATTTGCCAGCATCCCTTTGTTAAATCCAAAAGAGTTATA